TATGGTTCATCAACAGTCCCTTAGGGAGCAGACTAGGGCAACAAACAATCGTGAGGAAGGTGAACAGTCCCTACTCAGATTTTGGGACATTAACAGTCGTGCAAGAAGCCATAAACAGAAAAAAAAACAGTTCAGTACCAGCACCTGATACTGTAGCCGAACCCTTTTTTTCTCAGTACCAGCAATAGGCAGCACAGTCATGACTCGAACTTCCCTTCAGCAATAGGCAGCACAGCCTTCCTTCAAACATCTGATATAGTTTTTACAGTCCTCTTAGCCGAAGCAACCTCAGTTACCAGCAAACATACATGTAGCTGAACCCTTTTTCTGTGCTAGGAAATTGAACAGTCAGCTTACTTGTAGCAGAGCCCTACTCGGCAGTGGAGACTAACCCCAGAACTAGAGAAGCTTCCTCTTCCTTGCCTTCAAGCATCAGAACCATAGCTCCTCAGCAGCAGTGGAGAGAGACCTCAGCAACTATAGCTCCTTCGCAGCAGACCTGGACAGACCTGCTCTGATACCATGTTGAGCAGGTGACCAAGAAGAAGAAGAAGAAAAGAAAGAAGAAGAAGAAGAAGAGGAAGAAGAATAAGAGGCAGCTGAGTTAAGGCCTCAATCAAAAAACATAGCTTCAGTCAAGTGAAGCTTTCTATTTATACTGTTCTGGCCGTACATACCAATGTGACTACATAATTACGAAAATACCCCTGCGGGTACTAAGACTGTACAGTACATATAATACACCTGTTAACAGACATTCAAGGGCCAGCTATTTCATAGACAAGATTCTGGGACATGAGTGGTCATTGCCAAGTATTCATCAAAAACTACCATATTCGGATAATGTATTTATGTCATTTTTCAGGTAACCCAAATGATATGTTTTACTTTTTTCAGTTCTTCCACATCAACAAAAGTTCTTACCATATATCATGATATTGCCTCTAGTACTGGGTTTGATTAGATCCAGCTGATTCCCACTAGCCTCAGAGTAAGTCCAGCCTGCATGTGAGGTGAGGACAATAAAAATTACTCCCATCATTCATCATCTTTAGATAATTTTAGTCAAAGTAGTATTGACATACAATTGAAAGCTAACTAGAAATGATGGTAGACATTACCAGTAGGCCGAAATGCTAAAACTGCTGTGAATTTGTGCTTGTAGGTTTTCAAGTACTCTGCTAGGGTCTAGAAGTAACCAAATTTTAGTTGATAAGATTACACAAACTAAAACCTCCATGCAAATTAACGGGAAAAGGTAGGCTAACCTCAGGCCGCAGTGATGATATGGGCAGAATATGAAGAGGTGTTTCCTCTCCGCATGAACAGAGTTTTCCTGAGAGCTGAGTCCAATCAAAAGACTGCAAAATCCGCCTCCTGGAAGCATTTGTATATATCTTGACCTAAAGCAGGCACAATAGTAATCAATCAAGTCGTTAAACCATAAATCTCAGTCCGGAACCAAATAAAGAATTTAAATTTTGGGAAGAGAACTCAAGAATATCTAGAACCAAATAAGGATAATAAAAAGGTTGTTGCATTGAATACAATCTAAAGAATAAAGCCTTCTATGTCAATCTGAATCCAGTGTTTGAAGACCCTTTAACTTTTATCATAGCTATAGTCTTTTCAGAGTCTCATTTGTATGTTGAAATTAAATTAAAAGTTCATTCAGGTACTTGGAACTAGTATTAAAAAAAGTACCTGAAATTCTCAAGATATCTTAACTCAAATTGACATTTTACGAGGAAATTCAGTTCTTCTAGAAATGCAATGAGTTCAATCATAAGATCTAGTACCTCAAAAATGTCAATTGACATCTTAAAGAAAATATGTTCTACAAACATGAAAACGAAATAAATTATGCTAAGCTTTTTGCAGCAGCATTTATCCAATTGAGTGGGTACTAGAGCCAATTTCTGAATTCTAAATGGCAATGCATTTTAAGGCATGCACCTCACCTGAACCATAGTTGTCTAGGTGATGCCTAGGGGACAGGGCACCCATGGAGGGTTGCCTCGTTTAAACACCAAACTATTTGGTACATGGCACTTGAAATGTTGTATACTCTTTACTTTTGAGATTACAATTATAAAATATATATTATTAAACTAAAGGGTCATTTACTAAAACCAACCCTATAGTTTACATTTTACTAAAACACCCCTATATTTTGCAACCAATTTACTTAATTGACTTTCTTTTAAGAATCCTTTGAATTTCTGTCTAAAAATGGTAATGTGTCCATATAAAAAGAGTGGAAATGTTTAAAGGCATGAGCCCATGCTTTTTTATTCTAAAAGTATCTCCTAAAGCTTCATATCAAGCTTCTAGAAAGAAATAAGGATTGATTTTCAGGTCTATAAAAAAAAAATGTTTGACTTCAGTAGAATGAAAAGAGAGAACAATGGCATCCAGGGTTCTTTGTCAGCACTGGTTTGTCTTCCTTCTTCAAACAGACAAGAAGTTTTACTGAATAGAGTTGTTGCCCGTGTTTTACTGGGGACAAGAATGACATTTCCTTTTTTGTTTTCTGTAGATTAAATTTGTTTGAAGGGACCAAAACTGTCATTTTCCACTTCCATCTAATGGAAGGTCGATTACGTAAATTGGGTGCAAGCTATAGGGGTGTTTTAGTAAAACACAAAATATAGGGTAGGCTTTAGTAAACCCATGAAACTACAATGGGTGTTTTAGTAAATGACCCTAAACTAAATTATTCATTTTGTGGGCTTATACACTAGTTTCTTTTTATTATTTCTTATTTGTTATGGTTCAATCAACACACGTGTTGATGTATGTTGTCCCAAATCCCTGAGAATTTGAAAACCCAAACCTATAAGCAAGAACTTAAAATTTTGTCCAATCAAAACATTCTTCTTCTTCTTCTTCCACCCTTTCCTTTCTTTCTTTCCTATGACAAAAAAATAGGTGCTATTTTTCTGAAATTTCTTTTCCTTCTCATTAATATGTTGATTTCCAATGTTTTAATACAAAGTTTATACTTTTTTATGAAGGTTATAGAGAACTACAAATGATAAATGGTTCCTAATTGCTATGAAACCTAGGAAATTACACTATGATTCGTGGCTAGGGGTGTCATCAGTATTTGAAAATCCAATTTCGAATTTGAGATTTGACATAATCAAATCGAATTTGGATAATTCGAATATCTAATCAGTCAAATTCGGATGTCCTATTCATACTGAACAGCTAATTGGATTCGAATTCGGATATGACTTAATTCGATTCGATAAATATCCGAATTTGACTGGTTATTTAATTCCTATATATAATATATAAAATATTTAAATGTCTTATATAATTTATATATACAATAATTAAATTATATAAATCATTTATATATTTATATACTTTATATAAATAAAATATTTATTTTATATATTTATTAATTATCTTAAATAATTAATTAGTCGAATTCAAATCAGATCATATATTCAAATATTTAATCAGATTCGAATTCGATCCGTTTACACCCCTAGCCCTGGCACCTTGAAAACTATGCTTGAACCTAGGTGCAGCCCTTTCAAAATGCACACACTTGGTGTGCCTTCCCCTCAGCCTAAACTTGCACCTTTTTTAAAAATGCTTCTTTTGTTTTTTTTATGCAAACTCTTACGTGTTTTGCACCTTTTTAGTGACTAGTAATTAAGCACATGCGTTGCACGTGAGAAATTTTTCTTCATATTAAATACTTGAATTTTAGATATATCATAGTTAAGATAGAAATTGAAAATTAAAAAAGTAACAATATGATTAAAAATAAACTTAAATATTTATTATTCAATTATGACATCATGTGTTTTTTTTTTTTAAAGTTGGATCATTGACCCACCATCTAGATAAGAAATAGCATTGCTTTTGGATCAATTTTAATTTAGGGGAAATTATAGTCGAAGCCGGCTGTACATTTAAAATTTGGTTACAAGTTGGTCCATAAACCAACAAAACTCTAACAAACGGCTCTACATTTCAAGTTTTAAAATCCCTCGCCATGTCATCGGAGGGTTATGTGGCTATTGCCAACATGGGACTCTTAATCCATATTGGACTTAATAAAAAGTTTATACTGAAATTGTCCTTTAATGTTGGGTGATTGAAAAATAAAAAAAGGGTTTTTAGTCTCCCTCTCTCTCTCTCTCTCTCTCTCTCTCTCTCTCTCTCTCTCTCTCTCTCTC